TGAAATTTAGTGTTGAGTCAACTTAATTTTCTTGGTTTTTGCTACACACTGGAGACTGATGACATCCAGATTTTGCAAATGTATGCCAAAAACATTTTTTCTCACCCTCAATTCCTTGAGTACATTTAGCCATCGCACCGGATATCGCGGCTCATTCATTAAGCGCGCTCGCTTCAAGTTTGGCTCCGCTCATTTTGGGTCTGCTCCCAAACGGGACACTTTTGGGTTATTGGCGCTGATTGGCAGCGCCAACGGAGGGCATCAAAACCTGACCAGTTCAGTGGAGGATTTAACAAGCGTGCTCATGCGAGCAGAAAGTGTGTGCGCGTGTGTGTCAGAAAGACAGATGGCAGCTTCAACACACACACATTCACACACACTATCCACCCCACTAAGCATTTATTAACAATCCTGTAATATCTGTTGCATTTAATTTTCCCCTAAAATGGTGTAATTAAAACATTTTTATTGAATGTCTATTCTAAAAAAATGTTTATGCATTGTAAAAATTCAAACATAGACATCAGTCAAACCAATTTGCAGATGCACGTTTTTGTTCTTCAAATGGCTAAAATTATTGGCTCAATCATTTATACGCGTATAGGGAAGAGCCCCCCGCCGCAGTTCACCGGCGTGATCCATACGGTGAGTCCGCTGCAGTCGCACCCGTCTCCCGTGGTGAAGCTCATCATCGCTGTGGCCAAGTCCAAGTTCTGTGCGCAGGTGGGTGGCTGGCCGCTCTGTCGTTTGTCTATGTCATTTATCCACACACTGATAAGTACACACATTTTGGACGATGTGCTGTAGTCCAGATATAATATGGGGAAAGTATAATATACAGTGTAGTAAAGAACAGGTTTAAAGTGTATGCAATGTAAGTTTACAAGTGGAATGCAAGAAATAGTATGACATAGATAAGGTGTAGTTTAAGTATCATATGGAAAAGTATCATTATGCTCTGACATTGTGCATGAATAATGAAATGCATATATGAGACAGATCTAGTACAGCATTCACTTAAAAAAATATTTTTTGGATACTGTAGATTGTGGTTTTATGGAACAGCGACAAGCCCTTACCTCCCAGGAACAAGTGGCCCTCCACCAGTGTGCCTCTCACCGTCATCCAAGGACAGAGCAAGGTGACACTATTTTTCGATGGCACGGCTCCTCCAAACCTTTTTTTCAGTCCAGGGGAGAAATTCACAAGGCAGAATCCTACCATCGATTCAACGTAACTACTATGTGTAGCCACGAACACCTCAGCGATGAGAAACTTGTCAAAGCGTGCCATGCTAAGAGCAGATGCGACTGAAATGGAGTGCCCCACCTTGGTCCTATATATTGCATTTGAAGGGGAGCTACTGCACTTTTAAAACTTCTTATGAGAGTCAATGAATAAAGATTTGTGCGCCCGAGACCGGAAATACGTCACGAAATCTCTCTCTCTCTCTCTCTCTCTCTCTCTC